AAATTTTCTCCATCATGAGATGTGAAAATCAATTTCGTGGAACAAAATTTTAAAAAAAAGCAAACACCGATAGGCCAAAAGCAATTCGTAGATCTACTCACCTCAAATCCAGTTGTATTTGGAATCCTAAACGAAATGCTGCAAAAGAGAGAAAAACTTAACCCAACTGCACAGCACAACAGGTTAAAACAATTTAAAAAATTCACTTCGGAGCAAACCAGATCCGGATAGATTGCTCTAGAGAGCTGTTTCCTGCATGGTTTTTCTCCCCAGTCATTGTCCACAGGACTCTGAGAAGACGTAGGAATATGCAGGCGCAGACTCAAGGCCCGGCTTCATCTCCAACGTTGTGGAAAGGGACTGTACATCACCGGGCAGAGCCCTATGCTCCCGTACGCCACCTGGACAGAGCCCGGGGAGAGTGACCTCCCGGGGTATCCACGTTGGTCACAGTACTTTAAGTAGCAAATGCAAGCAGTTAAGGAGATTATACAGTTAAGGACCCAAAAGCTACCGTCCAAAATTAAACATTACCCACAAAGAAAAACTAAGTGGCAGCTGACCCGTTTCTAAATCAAAATGCCCTGTCTGCAACTCAACTTAAAGACAGTAACACGCCAGGAGGCGACATAATGGCGCATAAGGAAATGAGGGCGCTGCGCACTTAAGTTTTTCGGCGTGGAGGGCGGCAGTCCTGCTGGCCCTCGGGTTCCGTCGCCAGTACCGCTTAGCTACGGCCAAGACCGGCGGAGCGCGAGGCCTCTCCGACCCCCGCCCGAACAACCCACCCCACCCCGTTTTTTGCGAGTAGCTGTAGTTGGCACGAACGCCGAAGACTCGGAATCATTCTAAACAGTACAGTTCCTACAGAAAAGGCATACTGGCCGATCTCATAGCAGATGAAGCGCCCGCGAAGCCGTCAGTTGGTACCACTCACCTAGATACAAGAGAGTAGAACGAGAGTCTCTCCCGAAAAGACCCCAGAATCGCACGGAATCCGTATTTATAACCCCTGGAGACAGCGGAAGTCAAGAAAAATCTACTGCGCCTGCGCCGCGACACGCGCAGTTAGGGAATTAGAGTTTCGCTAAGGGTTCTGGGAACCCACTGCAGGTTAACGCCCCTAATTAGTCTCAGCGGCATCTCGCGATACTAGAGTCTTCCCGCAAACCTTGAAGGAGCGTGCTGCTGCTCCACTGGAGTGGTTTGCCATTTCCGTGCAGGTTACTGCAAATGCGTGTAGGACTGTAGGACACAAGGCTTCCCTGTCCATCACGAACTCCCGGAGCTTACTCAGAGTTATGTCCATCGCGTCGATGATGCCATCCAACCATCGCATCCTCTATCGTCCCCTTCTCTCCTGCCTTCAATCTTTTCCAGCATCAGGGTTTTTTTTACCAATGAGTCAGTTCTTCACATCAGGTGGCCAAAGTATTGGAACTTCATCTTCAGCTTCAGTCCTTCCAGTGGATATTCAGGGTTGATTTCCTTTAGGATTGACGGGTTTGATCTTGCAGTCCAAGGGACTCTCCAGAGTCTTCTCCACCACCACAGTTCAAAAGCATCAATTCTTCAGCGGTCACCTTTCTTTATGGCCCAACTCTCACATCTATACAGGATTACTGGAAAAAGCATAGCTTTGACTGGAGGGGCCTTTGTCTGCAAAGTAATGTCTCTGCTTTTTAATTTGCTGTCTATGTCATAGCTTTTCTTCCAAGGAGCAAGCATCTTTTAATTTCATGACTGCAGTCACCATCCGCAGTGATTTTTGGAGCCCAAGAAAAGAAAGTCTGTCACTGTTTCCATTGTTTCCTCATCTGTTTACCATAAAGTGATGGGACTGGATTCCATGATCTTCGTTTTTTGAATGTCGAGTTTTAAGCCACCTTTTTCCACTCTCCTCTTTCACTTTCATCAAGAGGCTATTAGTTCCTCTGTTTTCTGCCATAAGGGTGGTGTCATCTGCATATCTGAGGTTATTGATGTTTCTCCTGGCAATCTTGGTTCCAGCTTGCGCTTCATCCAGCCTGGCGTTTCTCATGGTGTACTCTGCATATAAGTTAAAGAAGCAGGGTGACAGTATGCATCCTTGACGTACTCCTTTCTCAATTTGGAACCAGTGCATTGTTCCCTGTATGGTTTTAACTGTTGCTTCTTGACCTGCATACAGATTTCTCAGGAGGCAGATAAGTGAGTGAAAATCGCTCAGCTGTGTCCGACTCTTTGTGATCCCATGGACTATACAGTCCACGGAATTCTCCAGGCCAGAATACTGGAGTGGGTACCCTTTCCCTTCTCCAGGGGATCTTCCCAACCCAGGGATCAAACCCAGGCCTCCCACATTGCAGGCAGATTCTTTAGCAGCTGAGCTACCAGGGAAGCCCACTCTTGAAGAATTTTCCACAGTTTGTTGTGATCCACACAGTTAAAGGTTTAGTATAGTCAGTGAAGCAAAATTAGATGTTTTTTCTGGAATTCTCTAGCTTTTTATATAATCCAGTGGAAGTTGGCTATTTGATTTCTGGTTCCTCTGCCTTTTCTAAATACAGCTTGAACATCTGGAAGTTCTCGGTTCACATACTGTTGAAGCTTAGATTGGAAAATTTTGAGCAAAACAATGCCACTCTTCTCTGTTTTAAAAAATAGTTATTTTAATACAAATATATTATCAATTAATGTAATGGATTATTATTATTTTGAAATGTATCATAAATATTTTAAAATTTTCTAAGTTTTTAGTACAGTAAATATCAATAGATATCACCTACAGATACAACAGTTGTTTGGGGTTTTGAGTAATGTTTTAAATTATGAAGGACTTTCCTGGTGGCTCAGACAGTAAAGCGTCTGCCTACAATGCGGGAGGACCTGGGTTCGATCCCTGGGTGGGGAAGATCCTCTGGAGAAGGAAGTGGCAACCCACTCCAGTACTCTTGCCTGGAAAATCCCATGGATGGAAGAGCCTGGTAGGCTACAGTCCGTGGGGTCACAAAGAGTCAGACACGATTGAGTGACTTCACCTTAAATTATGAAGGAGTCATGAAACAAAAGGTTTAGAGGAAGAAAGACAAATAATTCTGCTACTTTTCTGGTGATATGAGTATTCAGTTGCCTTTCAGTCACTCGTTCAATATTTCCATAGTGAATATGACAGTTTGCTAAACATTGTGCTAGACACTGGAAATTGAGATGAACTACTTTTTCTGTCCTTGAGAACTCACAGCAGAGGAAATAGACATGACAGCAAATTATCCTATTACTTGATAAGTGATGTATGGCATAAATACGGTATTCTGAAGATAGAGCAATTGAAAAAGTGGCTAAAGGCTGAGAGGGTTTTCCTGGGGAGTTAAAATTTGAGCTAAAACTTGAAGGACTAGTAGAAGAAAGTGTTAAGTCGCTCAGTCATGTTCAACTCTTTGAGACCCCATGGACTGTAGCCCGCCAGGCTCCTCAGTCCATGGAATTCTCCAGGCAAGAATACTGGAATGGGTTGCCATTCCCTTCTCTGGGGGATCTTCCCAACCCAGGGACTGAACCCAGGTCTCCTGCATTGCAGGCCTATTCTTTACCATCTGAGCCATTCTTTACCAGCTGAGGGCTTCCCTTGTGTTCAGCTGCTCAAGAATCTGCCTGCAATGTGAGAGACCTGGGTCCGATCCCTGGGTTGGGAAGATCCTCAAGAAGGGAAAGGCTACCCACTCCAGTATTCTGGCCTGGAGAATTCCATGGATGGTATAGTCCATGGGGTTGCAAAGAGTCAGACATGACTGCGCGATTTTCACATCACTTCACTTCACTTACCAGCTGAGCCACAAAGGAAGCCCAAGAATACTGGAGTGGGTAGCCTATCCCTTCTCCAGCAGATCTTCCCTTCCCAGGAATCAAACTGGGGTCTCCTGCATTGCAGGCAGATTCTTAGTAGAAGAACAGCAGAAGGTTGTAGAATAGTAGAAGGGTGAAGTGCAAATGACAACAGCATTCCCGGCTGGGGAACTGGCGGGTCTGTGGTCTCCCAGGAAGGGTAAGGGGTCAGCTTGATTAGGAACATCAAAAGGAGAACTGCCTGGACTTCTCATGAGCATGAGAAGTAGTCAAGAGCTGAATACAAAATATCTCGTAGTCCAGGCAAAAGCTTAAATTTTATCCTGTAGGTATCTAAGGGGCAGTAAGGTTTTTCTTTTTCTTTTTTTAATTTACAAAAATTTTTTGACTGTGCTGGGTCTTCACTGTTGGGCTCAGGCTTTCTCTACTTGGGTGAGCAGGGGCTACTCCCTAGTTGTGGTGCACAGGTTCTAGGGTGCTCAGGCTTCCGTAGTTGTGGCACACGGGCTGAGTTGTTCCAAGGTACGCAGAATCTTCCTGGACCAGGGATTGAACCCATGTCCCTTACACTGGCAGGCTGATTCTTAACCACTGGACCGCCAGGGAAGTCCTAGGGGCTAGTAAGTTTTGAAATAAAAGATTGCTATGAGTGTCTTTGCCTTGTAGAAAGGTAACTCTAGTGGCAATATTGGAGGATGGATTGGAGGTTATAAAGTCCTGTTAAATTATGCTGGCTTCCAACTTTAGTGGTAAATAAGGCACGAGGACATAAAGGAACTGAGACTTTTCTGGGGTAGAGAATTCTGAACCTGCAAGGGAAGAGAGGAACTTGCAAATATAGCAATACCAAAATTTCAGATTTGGAATGCTGAACATAGTAATGTCAAAGTTTCACATTTGGGATGCCAAACATACTACGATCTCTAATTCTGATAATTGATAAAGGAGGCGGTAGAGGTAGTAGGGTCCACAAATGAGGTGCGTGTTTTTGTTGTTGTTAACCTCATTTTTTATTGAGTTGTGAACTGCTGCAAACACTTCTAGAGACAACACATGACCTCAAGAAGGTAATGGCAGTTAGAGGTCTCTTTGGAGGGCTAGTAGAAGGAAGATATGGGAGCAGGTGGAGCCCAGTGACTCGAGCAGTTCTGACTCATGGTTTCTCTTAACCCTAGGTAAAGGGTGGTATGCTAATCAAGACCAGCCTCTGAAGTGAAAAGTAGAAAGTGAGTCATTGATGGGGCCACCTGGATTGAAACTGGGCTGCTTGCCAGAGTGGAATACATGAGCTATAAAATGTCCTATTTTTGTGATGTCAGCCTAAGGCCTAATTATATCTGGTCCATATACAGTAAGTCCCTTTAGGGACAATTGGTCAGGATGCACTTGCTTTTTCTTGAATATATGTAAAGGATGATTACATAATTTGCTTTGACTTTGGGGAGGTAACTTTACCTCTAAAGTTCTTCACTGGTTAAATGAGTGTATTTTTACTTACCTCCCAGACTAGGTGGGATTAATAAAATCTAGAGCTATATAGTGTGGGGTTCACAGTTGGCTTTCAACTCTGAAGCTTATTCCTTTTCTACATTTCTGCTTTATTGACTATGCCAAAGCCTTTGACAGTGTGGATCACAATAAACTGTGGAAAATTTAGAGATGGGAATACCAGACCACCTGACCTGGCTCTTGAGAAACCTGTATGCAGGCCAGGAAGCAACAGTTAGAACTGGACATGGAACAAGACTGGTTCCAAATAGGAAAAGGAGTACATCAAGGCTGTATATTGTCACCCTGCTTATTATTTAACTTACATGCAGAGTACATCATGAGAAACGCTGGGCCAGAAGGAGCACAAGCTAGAATCAAGACTGCTGGGAGAAATATCAATAACCTCAGATAGGCAGATGACATCACCCTTATGGCAGAAAGTGAAGAATTAAAAGGCCTCTTGATGAAAGTGAAAGAGGAGAGCGAAAAAGTTGACTTAAAGCTCAATATTAAGAAAACTAAGATCATGGCATCTGGTCCCATCACTTCATGACAAATAGATAGGGAAACAGTGGCTGACTTTTGTTTTTCTGGGCTCCAAAATCACTGCAGATGGTGATTGCAGCCATGAAATTAAAAGACGCTTACTCCTTGGAAGGAAAGTTATGACCAACCTAGACAGCATATTAAAAAGCAGAGACATTACTTTGCCAACACAAGTCAGTACAGTCAAAGCTATGTATGGTTTTTCCAGTAGTCATGTATGGATGTGAGAGTTGGACTATAAAGAAAGCTGAGCACCGAAGAATTGATGCTTTTGAACTGTGGTGTTGGAGAAGACTCTTGAGTCCCTTGGATTGCAAGGAGATTCCAACCAGTCCATCCTAAAGATCAGTCCTGGGTGTTCATTGGAAGGACTGATGTTGAAGCTGAAGCTCCAATACTTTGGCCACCTGATGAGAAGAGCTGACTCACTGGAAAAGACCCTGATGCTGGGAAAGACTGAGGGCAGAAGGGGACGACAGAGGATGAGATGGTTGGATGGCATCACCAACTCGATGGATATGGCTTTGGGTGGACTCCGGGAGTGTGATGGCCAGGGAGGCCTGGCATGCTGCGGTTCATGGGGTTGCAGAGTTGAACACGACTGAGCGACTGAACTGTACTGAACAATTTATACAGACAGACACAAACATTACTGACCTTCATCTCTGGCTACGTTTAATGTTTTTACTATAACTTTTCTCCCTCATTTACTTCTCATTAGGATGTTTAGCAGTATTTTAGGGACTTCCTCTCCCTCCCTTTTCAGCTGTGCCGTGGAGCATGCAGGATCTTAGTTCCTTGAGGAGGATCAAACCTGTGCCCCTGCATTGGGAGCATGGATGTCTACACCATTAGACTGCCAGGGAAGTCTCTGAGGAATCATTTTTAACCTACCTTAAAACTTCTGGAATGAGACAGAATATAAAAAGGAAATACTTCATACCAAAATAATATAATTTGTCCTTTTTAATTCTAAAATACATTAATAATTAATATTGATAGGAAGACTAATATACAATGCAATTATTTATTTTACAAGGAGATTCTGTACATCAGGGAAGCATCTTGAAGTACAATACAACAGATTTCTATTTCTTCTTTACATTATGATTGTGAATTATTACTTACATGGAAGGAGAACACAAAATCCACTTTATATATATATATATATATATTTATATAAACACCTGAAAGGACTTGACTCCCAAAGTATCTTATTTCAAAAGAACATGAGTGAGATGAAAGATGAATTAGATTCCTTGGTGGCACATAGGAAGCGAACAAGTAGCTCAGGAGATCAAACCCTGTTTCAAGCTTGGCACATGAAGGGAAAGAAGGGAGCGAATGGGGTGTGAAAAATGCCATCTGAAGCCACAGAGGATGCTGGCAAAAGCCAAGTAGTTTCCAAACCAACAAGACAGAAAGGTTAGAAGTCAACACTTAATGTGTGTTCTACAGCTTTGTAGGATCATCTCTTTATCTTTCCTCAGGCATCCCGAACGTCAGTGAGCTTGCAGGGGATGTAAGCCCAGTGTATCTCCATGGCCATAAAGCACTTGACAGTTACTGAAAAATCCAAACACCTCCCTATTCCCCATATGGAGAGAACATACTACCTTTTAAGGTCACTTTTAGCTTTGTTTTGACCTGATATTCTGATTCTTCAGCAAATCTTACATGGACGCAAAAGGAGGAACAGAGAAAAATCTACTGGAAGAGCACATACGGGACAAGGACTGGCAGAAGAAGTCAGAAAAAATCTATAATAGAGCCACAATTTTCTGAACATTCAGGGGAAAAAGCCACATTCATCAGTTTAATAGAAACTTTTCTTCCTCTTCCACTTAGAGTGGATAGGAATTAGAGGGACACAGTAAGGCATATGGTTTTCAACAAAAATTCAAAGAAAGCAACTGAATCGTCTGTTTCAGGAAATCATATTAATATATATTACACATATAAAAGGGTGTGGGGGCTGAGCCAATGCCCAGGCACCAACTAACTGCACGGGCTGCAGCTTGGAAGAGGAGGGCTGAGTGAGGTGGAAGCTGCCAGACACGGTGAGCAGGAGGGTCAGTGCTGGGAGGTAACGGGAAGAGGGCAGCAGGGGAGGGTGGACAGGACTGAGGAACAGACAGGAGCGGCGGGTCATGGTCTCGCCCCTCCCAACTGCTTCTCCAAGGACCTTTTTCTGTCTAGCCCCCACACCCCCAGGACCTCGCTGTGATTCTGGCTGAAACTGTGGGGGCTGACAGCACACGGGTGCTCCCGCAGAGCTGCAACTCTGCTTCAGGGGAGAGAATGCATCTGTTGGTTAGAATGATTTAGAGTTATCATCTGGTACAACAAAAATACAACAGTCTGAACAACTCGAGCCATGAGTCAGTTTTCTGCCAAGTTGGCCTTAATGTAAAGGCCCTTTTTTGGTTTTGTTTTTATATATAGAAAACATATATGCTGTCTCATTTTTCCAACTTGGAATCTAGCTGCAGCTCAAGACTGTTTAACAGATAGGAAAAATGTTAAGCTCCCATCATTTCTTCAAGATTAAAAAAAAAAAAAAATAAAAATCAGAATGACTTGTGCCAAAAGAAGAAAATGTCAGATCCGGAGCTTCTCCCGGGCTGGGTTGCCTGAAGAGGACTGTATTGCTGTGTTACAAAAAGTACAGTGCAGTGCTTTCAGCTGATATGCTTCTCCCTGGAGATGGCCCCTTTTCCCAGAAGCTTGGGGGCCTCCAGCAGGTTTCCCCCATCACCAATGAGATGTGATGGCTAGAATTTAGCATCTATACAAGTGGGTCTCAGAACAGGACAGGGCTGGTAAGGCCAATGGTGCAAACTGTGCCTTTAGCACAGGCAGTCATCGTGGGTGAGGTTCAACCAATAAAACTTGGAACCTGCAAGTGACCCAGAACATTGAGGCTGTTGAGGGAAGACCCCTCAGGTATGCTGCAATATTACAAGGTTCAAAAGCACTGACAAAATGTTCAGTTTTGCCCAAGGCAGCACGTGAGAATCCATTCCAGTGAAAAGCTACATTCATCGAAGTGCTGTTCACCGCAGAACTGTAGCCTAGAGGACTCAATTCTGGCTGTGCTGGGAAGTGCTGAAGTCCCCTCCGTGTCTCCCTGCACACTGAAGCAGCCCTGTGTTGGGGGGTTGTTTAGATTCTCTCTCAAACTTCAGCATCATGGACGGTGGTAGCTAAAACAAATGATCAGAAAGAGCCAAGTTACCAGATGTTGTAGACTGCTTTGCTATGACAGCTGACTTCTAGAACAACAGGGTCCAACAACTGCACAAGTCCAATTTTATGTAGATTTTTTGCAGTAGTAAATACCACAGAACTATATGATCGAATAGGATGTATAGGAAATGGAACCATGGATACAGAGGAGCCACATATAGGGAGGGCAGTTATAAATCATATGTGGATTTTCAACTGAACTGCTTAGAGGGTTGTGGGCACCCCAACTTTTGCATTGTTCACAGGTCAACTGTATTATCTTAAAAGTAATGAAATGTTATGTTCTAATAAAAAAAAAAACCTGCCTCTCTTCCACTCTAACCCTACCTGACATTTCTGTAGCATCTGATACTCCTGACCATCTTGTTTTCTTCTTGAAACTTCTTTTGACTTCTGTAACACTATGTTTGCCCTAGATTTCCTTCTTTTTCAATTGCTCTTCCTCAATCTGCTTTCCTGATTCATTTTCTTCTGTCCATCATTTAAATATAAAGCACTGTTCTCCTTAAGAACGGCTATCTTTTCTCACAGACTTGAGTCTTTATGTCTTCTTTTTCTCCCTGGACTCTAGGCTGAAGAGCCAACTGTTTTCTCGGCAACTCCCTTCAACGTGCCATAGGTTCAACACATACGACTGACCTCCTGGCCGTCCACTGTCGCCGTCTTCTTTGAGAATGAAAGCTCCTTCAGGACAGGGGCCTTGTCCTCCACTGCGCCCCAAGTGCCTAGCACTGCCTCTGTCATCTAGTGGGCGCTGAACAAATGTCCTAAACGTCACTGAACTCCTTACAGACTAATCAGTCCTCGAAAATCACGTTAGAAATCGAAGAGTCACTCCAATTGCTTCCTTTAATTTGTCCCTGGAGTGAAGAGACTGCCGCATCGGGTTGATTCTATGCGTGCAACGTCTTCCACGTTTATCTTCCCTGGTGTGCACTAGCAGCATGCTCACTCTATCTCAGCTGCTTCCTAACTGGTCTCCTCATTCTTCCAAATCCCCTTCCAAACTTGCACCAGGGTTTGTTCCCAAATACACGAGCTCCAGAGGTTCCAAGATCTTCACGTCAGAGTCAAAGCTCTCAGGGACCTGGCCATAACCCATCTTGCTAGTCTCACTTCACCGTGCTGCCCCGTCCGTCCTCTGCTCCAGCTCCATGTTCTGTTACAGAGAGCACAGTTCCTGCCTCTCAAAGTCCCATGGAAAGCTGGCAGGTTTGCTTACAATCTTCCTTCTTCTTTGTAATAAAACACTTATGGTGGGGCTAGGACTTCACTGCTGTGCACGGGCTTTCTCTAGTTGTGGCGAGCCGGGGGCTTCTCACTGCGGTGGCTTCTATTATTGCAGAACACAGGCTCTAGAGCTTGGGCCTAGTGGCTGCGGCCCCAGGCTTGGTTGCCCTGGTGGCACAAAGAATCTTCCCAGACCGGGGATCAAACCTGTATTCCCTACATTGGCAGGTGGATCCTTAACAACTGGACCACCAGGGAAGTCCCCTTCCTTCCTTCTTGTGCAAATGAACTCTTTTACATAATGTAAGATGTAGCCTAAACGCCACCTTCTTTGTGACTTTCTTGTACTGTTGCTCACTATGGTACTCTACTACTACTACTACTAAAAATAGCTAATACTGACACAGGCAGGAAGTGGTCGAGTTGGGACATGAAACCCAACAGATTCAGCCCTCAGAATGACTGAGGCATTTATCATATTGACCGTACACAGTGGTATACAGATCACTTCCCAGCTTAGACTATAATCTCCTTACTGACAAGTATGGCTTGTTATTTGAGGTCATATTACAGTGCCCAGAATGACATAACTGTTGTTCAAAGAAACTGCCTTCTCTAATTCTGTCATAGTTCATAGTTCAGTACAAAAAAATTCTGTAGTTAAAATAACCATTTGTTCTGTATTTTGATTGAAAAATGTTTAATATTTTGTCTTCCGACTTTGCTTGTTCCTTCTTTTTATAGCAAACTGTAATTGTCATCATACCTTCTTTCATTGAGTCTCTTCTAATCATTGTTTTAGAGAGTCACCTAGATACTTCTACTGATTCCATTTGTGGCTACCTGAGTCTTTATGTATGGGCTGGGGCCTTAATAACAACAGTAATTCCAAATCAAAATGCTTCTTGGCTGCTTCGTGGCTTTTTTCATGTTTATACAGTAAACTGGTAAGATCGACTGTGCTACCAAGGGCTGAAACCAGAGCGGGCAGCTTCCTTTCCAGCTTAGCAACCATCCCGCATCTGTAACCTGGGACAGTCAGGTGCAGAAAAGAGAGCAAAAAGAGAGCACCCAACTGCTTTTAGTCATTCATTCCTTTTCCCACATCCTGGTCGTGCAAGTCAAGCATATTACTTAACCCTTTTGAGTCTATTTCCTCATTAGTAAAATGGGGATATGAACACACCTGGTATGTTACTGCAAGTAATAAGATATAAAATACATAAAATGCCATACTCCATAAGGCATGAACTATGCCTCTTAGCTCTCATCTCTTTCTCTTAATATAGTCTTTGTGCAATTAACACCAAGTGTTGTTCTTTTAACTATGTCTTTAGAATCCTTTCAAGCTGAACAACTCTGCCTCATTTGCTTTTTGGTGGAGTTCTACTTAGCTTCCAGTATTTAGGTCTTACCGTGTAAAATGTTTACTCTCCTCATGAACTTCCATCTCTGAGCTTTTAAACTCATTTAATTCTTTCCTTATGGCAGCCTGTAGAGTAGAAACAAAAACATCTCAGCATCTTCTGTCTGCTACAACAGCAGGACTGTGCTTTGTCATCTGGTCTCTACTGTGCTTAACTCTGACCAGGCAACCCAAAGGGAGGGAGGAAGTCAGGTGAACACAGTTCTGTGTGCAGCTCTGAGCCTGATGCACATCGCCTTCCTGACAACCTTTGTCTCATAATAAACCTGAGGTCTCCAGTTAAATCAAAACCCTTGAAGAGCTCAAAAGAGAGATTGTAGCTTTTACAGTTTCCACAGCATGTAAAAATGCTTTCCCTGTTACAAAAGTGAAATATGGGTAATTACTAAAATATACCATTCAAACTCCCTCCAATGAAACATAACTCCTGTTAAAAAAATATGCTTTATTTCCTTGCAGCTTTTTGTACCATGCAATACAGCAGGGATTTTCTTTTCTGTAAGTTTTGGTGAAGAAGTCCTTAGTATAAGTTTTAGTTTGTACCTCTTGGTATCTTATATCTTAATTAGACAGTTAACATTATACAAGAAGTAGAAATTTTATGGTTCCCCCTTCTAGTTGATGTCTCGTATCCTTCAAATAAAGAGAGACAGACAAATGACAGATACCTTGTCAGCAGGGGTCAGTTTGGTCCAAGGTTTGTCAGCTCGCCGGTCATAATCGTGAGCATCTGTTACTTCCACATATTCATTAAACCTCAGAATCTTCCTGGCAAGTAGTTCAGCCACAGTTGGCCTTTGACTGAGCTGAAAGAAATGGAGGCTGTCAGTTCACTATGCCAGGAGTTAGGCATCAGTCATGCATTCAAACTGCCTCTAATCCAGAGCTTCAACTTTTTACTGCACAATGGAATCACCTTGGGACCTTTAAACACGACTGATCCCTGGGTCCATCCTCAGAGATTCTGGGTATCAGGGTATCGGAATTTGTTTGTTTTTTTAAACTCCATGATGCACAGTCAAGATTGAGAAACAAGAATTGCTATTAAACCAGTATAACCAGTGCTTCTCAAACTTTAACAGGCACACAAACCATTTGGGGATGTGGTTAAAGTGGAGATTCTGACTAAGCAGATTTGGGGTGGGGCCTGAGATTCTGTAGCTCTTAAAATCCCAGGTGATGCCAATGCTGCTGGTCTGTGGATCACATGTTGGGTAGCAAAAGGGTCCAGGCTACAAATTCATATCTAATACACTAGAAGGTGAATACACTGATTATGAAAGCAATATCTATTAATGAGTGATATTAAGGGTGAATTTCCTTTCAACATGAGTAATGCCCAAGATACCAGATTCCGTAACAAATTAAGATTTAAGGTTGAACAATCAGTTAACCTGTTCAATCTGAAGCCTTTAAGTCCTGTGATAACCTTTTAGCCACCCCCAATCTATCAAGGATAATTCCTCTGGTCCTGGGGAAGGGGAGAAGTAGGAAAAATCAGGAGGAGAATGTAGTGTTTTCTCACTTTCCTGGGGATTCCTGTACATTTTAAAAAATATCTACAGAACTCAGACCAATTCTAAGAATCTACAGGAGGTAATTACCAACTAATAATAATAATGAGGGAGGCAAAGGAACAATGGCTTACTCCCAGAGTTTAAGGGCTAAAACAAGCCTGCGACAGAAATGATTCTATCCTAACTGATTTGGGACCAATGAGAAAATCTTACTTGGTTTTTCACACTTTTCAGGTGTAACTGAGGATCAATTCAGTTGTTTCTCTCATTAGAATATGACCGGTTTGCCTTGCAAAATCAAACACTACACACTCTTCCTGTTACTGTTTCCATACTTCCGCAGGTTTTAGTTGATACCAAAATTCCAGGTCTACTAAAGAAAAGGTCAAAACTTGTGCAAATATTTACTGAACACCTTCCTGTGCCAGGCTTTCTTTAAATAGTTAAAATGGAAAAAAAAAAAAAAGTTCTTATAATGCTGTATTGTTTTCTATGTTTTCATCATGTGTTCTATTTTCACAGAAATCTATGGCAATTCAAGTCAAATTCATTTCTTTCCAGTCAAACAGGTCATTCACATACCAGACACAGACTGAGACTGAATACGTGCGGAGCATACCTTTCTGGTGAGCCGACGTTTAATCTCTCGTTTTTCTGCCTGACGATCAGCTTCATTTTTAGCTACATTTGATAGTCAGAAACAAAGAATATTACTTCAGAATGGCAATCGGCATATCTAACTTTTCAGTGATTATACACAGATAATTCTTACAGGCTCCAAGTCAGAATAAATACTAACTCTGGGACTCAAGACAATTTTCTTGTCAACTGGTATAGTCAAACACTGGGTTGGCCAAATGCCCAAGGTAGGTGCAGGATACTATGAGACTATTAAAATACAATTTTCTGGAGCATTCCAGTACACAGAACATTATCATAATGATTTTCTGTAAAGGATGCTTGGGGAACTATGTTCCTTCAGGGGGAAAAATTATGAATACTCCTTCTTCCTTGGCTGGAATACTCTCTGCTCGGCCCCTGTTGAAAAATGCTTCTTTTTTCTGTTACGTATATTAAAGTCAGAAATACACAAAGAAAATCTACACAACTTCATTTCCATATGTGGACTCACGTTGTAGTATGTTCCGTTGTTCTAGTTCTTCTGGTGTTGGTCTCTGACTCAGTCGTCTACAAAGGAGATAAATAAGAGCTTTGTCTATGTTAAATCACCCAATCCTGTTTATACAGATCTGTTTTTGGTCTTAGTTTATGTTAGCCCCTACACTAGAAAGAAATAAAAAAATTTTCAAAGTTTTGATATTTCATTTGCTTAACTGATTGTTTATGAAACATTTTTCACACTGAAAGTGTTAATACATATATTACAATGTAAAAAGGGACTGTGCCAGCAAACAGGAGACTAGCTTTGATGCCAACAAGTTCTGTCACCACAAAAAAGCTTAGTTAGACTCTGTAAAATGAATATTTGGACTGCTTTTGTGACTCCCAAACAGATCTGCTCCTTCAGCATATGGGTTAACACAGATCCTCAAAGATACTAATAAAGATTCTGATTTTGAGGACTGAGATTTTATATGGGTATGTGTGTACATATACATATATAAATATTTGTAATGCTTCCCATATGACTCTGATTCCCTTCTTTTTATTATTTATTTATGTAAACTTTTACTTTTTGGCCATGCCTTGTAGCACATGGGATTTTGGTTTCCCTAACCAGGGCTCAAACCTGTATTGCATTGGAAGCATGGAGTCTTAACCACTGGATCACCAGGGAAGCCCCTCTCTTTTTTGATTTTGAAGCACTACTTTTTATTATTTATTTATTTTTGCCTGTGCTGGGTCTTCATTGCTGCGGACAGGCTTTCTCCGGCTTCGGTGGGCAGGGGCTTCTCACTGCTGTGGTTTTTCTTGTTGTGGAGTATGGGCTCTGGGATGCAAAGGCTCAGTAGATGTGGCCCATGGGCTTAGTTGCCCTGAGGCATGTGAGACCTCAATTCTCTGACTGGGGTCTGAACCTATGTACTCCAGGGAAGTCTTTCTTTTGATTTTTAAACCAGTGGTTTAGAAACCACTGGAATTTAAAGTTGTCTCTTTTGGAGTTATATTCTGTAAAACCTATGATTTCAATTTTGGTCCTCTAGGAAATATTGATGAAGTTTCTTATCTCATTCCCAGATCTGAGATGTTATTCACCAATGAAAACTTGTCACTTCTAGAATCAGAAAGTTCTCCAATTCTTACTCTTAATGTATAATCCTCAACAGTATCTAATTATATGCCAGTAGCTCTTTAGTTAGGGCTTCCCTGGTAGCTCAGAGGTTAAAGCGTCTGCCTGCAATGTGGGAGACCGGGGTTCGATCCCTGGATTGGGAAGATCCCCTGGAGAAGGAAATGGCAACCCACTCCAGTATTCTTGCCTGGAGAATCCCATGGACAGAGGAGCCTGGTGGGCTACAGTCCACGGGATCACAAAGAGTTGGACACAACTGAGCGACTTTAACTAACTAACTCTTTAGTTGCATGGAAAATTCCCAGGCCCATTTTATATACAATTTACAATTATATGTATTTCAAAGTTTTTCTTGTCTCTTTGAACAAGACCATCTTTTTTCAACATTCATTAAAAAACATAACACCACAGCTTTACTAAGGTATAAATGATATACAATAAATTGCATGATTTGATATTCTGACATATGCATGTACCTGTAAAATCATCACTACAATCATGGGAAGGAACACATCCATCATCCTTGGAATGATTTCCAGGGCTGCTGTAATAAGTTACCACAAACTGGAAGGCTTATAACAAATATTTATTCTCTCACAGTTCTGGAGGCCAGAGTCCAGAATCCAGGTGTTGGTAAGGCTGGTTCCTTCTGAAGGTTCTGAGGGAAAATTTGTTCCCTGCCTCTCTCCTGGCTTCTGGTGGTTGCCAGCAGTCCTTGGTGTTCTTTGGCTTTTAGATGTGTCACCCAAGTTTCTGCCTTAGTCACCTGGCATCCACCCTATGTGTGTCTGAGTCTCTGCGTCCCAGTTTCCCTCCCCTTATGAGGACACCAGTCACTGGACTGGAGCCTACCCTGACTAATCGAGTACGTTGTTGTTATTTTTCACTTGCTAAGTCAGGTCCAACTGTTTGCAACCCCGTGGACTGCGGCATGCCAGGCTCTGCTGTATTTCACTTTCTTCCCGGAGTTTGCTCAAATTCATGTCCACTGAGTTGGTGACGCTATCTATCCATTTCATCCTCTGTCGCCCCCTTCTCTGGCCTTCATCTTTCCCAGCATCAGGGTCTTTTCCGGTGAGTTGGCTCTTTGCATCAGATGGCCAATGTACTGAAGCTTCAGCTTCAGTATCAGTCCTTCCAATGAATATTCAGGGTTGATTTCCTTTAGGATTGACCTGGTTTGATCTTGCAGCCCAAGAGACTCTCAAGAGTCTTCTCCAGCACCACAATTCAAAAGCATCCATTCTTCAGCGCTCAGCCTTCTTTATGGTTGCACTCTCATATAGGTACATGATTACCGGAAAAACCATAGCTTTGACTATATGGACCACTGTTGGCAAAGTGATGTCTCTGCTTTTTAATGTGCTGTCTAGGTTTGTCAGAGCTTTCCTTCCAAAGAGCAAGCATCTTTTAATTTTATGGCTGCAGTCACCATCTACAGTGATTTTGGAGCCCAAGAAAATCCAGTATGACTTCATCTTAAATTGATTATATCTACAGAGGCCCCCTATCCAAATAAGGTCACATTCATAGGCACCATCTTTCCAGGCGGTACAGTGGTAAAGAATTCACCTGCAATGCAGGAGTTGGGGGAGACATGGGTTTGATCTCTGGGTTGGGAAGATCCTCTAGAGGAGGAGATGGCAACCCACTCCAGTACTCTTGCTGGGAAAATCCCATGGACAGGGAAGCCTGGTGGTCCATGGGGTTGCAAAGAGTTGGACACAACAGAGCACGTATCATAGGTACCAGAGATTAGGATTCATTTTGGGAGGTACAACTCTATCTACTATGACCTTGACAAAGTCTTTCCTTTGTAATCACTACCTCCCTGCCTCCAGGCAAACATTCATCTGCTCTATTTACTCTCAACCCTCCTGCCCCCAGGCAAACAATGACTTGTTTTATGTATAGTTTCCATTTTCTAAAATTTTATATAAAACCATACAGCATACACTCTTTTTGTCTAGTTTTTTTTTCACTCAGGATAATTACTGAGATCCATATAAGCAGAGGCATTATTAGTAGTTCATTCCTATTTACTGCTCTATAGTATTCCATCCATTCCTTTCCATTTCACATTAGGCTCAAAATCCTTCAAGCTAGGCTTTAGCAGTATGTGAACCGGGATTTAGAAAAGGCAGAAGAAGCAGAGATCAAACTGCCAGCATTTGCTGGACCATAGGAAAAGCAAGGGAGTTCCAGAAAAACATCCACTTCTTCACGGGGCTTCCCTGGCGGCTCAGACGGTAAAGACTTTGCCTCAAATGCTAGGAGACCCGAGTTCAATCCCTGGGTTGGGAAGATCCCCGGGGAAAGAAAATGGCAACCCACTCTAGTATTCCTTCCTGGAGAATCCCATGGACAGAGGAGCCTGGCAGGCTGCAGTCCATGGGGTCGCAAAGAGTCAGACACGACTGAGTGACACTCACTTTTCTACTTCATTGACTAGGCTAAAGCCTTTGACTGTGTGGATCACAACAAACTGGAAAATTCTTAGAGACGGGAATACCAGACTACCTTACCTATCTCTTGAGAAACCAGTATGAGAGTTAAAAAGCAACAGAACCAGACATAGAACAACTGACTGGTTCAAGATTGGGAAAGTACGTTAAGGCTGTATATTATTATCACCCTGCTTATATAACTTACATGCAGAATACATCGTGTGAAATGCCGGACTTGATGAATCATAAGCTGGAATCAATACTGCTGGGAGAAATACCAACAACTTCAGATATGCAGATGATATAATTCTAATGGCAGAAGGTGAAGAGGCACTAAACAGTCTCTTGATAAGGGTGAAAGAGGAGAGTGAAAAAGCTGGTTTAAAACTCAACATTCAAAAAACTAAGATCAAGGCATCCAGTCCCATCACTTCACAGCAAATAGAAGGGGAAAAAGTGGAAGCAGTAACAGATTTTATTTTCTTAGGCTCCAAAATCACTGTGGATGGTGACTGCAGCCATGAAATTAAAAGATGCTTGCTCCTTGGAAGGAAATCTATGAGAAACCTAGAGACTGTATTAAAAAGCAGAGACATTACGTTGCTGACAAAGATCCGTCTAGTCAAAGCTATGGTTTTTACAGTAGTCATGTATGGGTGTGAGAGCTGGACCATAAAGAAGGCTGAGCACTGAAGAACTGATGCTTTTGAATTGTGGTGTTGTAGAAGACATTTTTTTTTTAAGTATTTTTATTTATTTGGCTGCACTTGGTCTTAATTGTGGCATGTGGGATCTAGTTCCCTGACCAGGGATCAAACCCAGGCTCCCTGCTCTGGGAGCATAAAGTTTTAGTGACTGGACCACCAGGGAGGTCCCTGGAGCAGACTCTTGAGAGTTCCTTGGGCTGCAAGGAGATCAGTCTAGTCCATCCTAAAGGAAATCAATCCTGAATATTCACTGGAAGGAATAATGCTAAAGCTGAAGCTCCAATACTTTGGCCACCTGATAGGAAGAGCTGACTCACTGAAAAAGACCCTGATGCTGGGAAAGAGTGAGGGCAGGAGGAGCAGGGGGTGACAGAAGATGGGATGGTTGGAGAGCATCACTGACTCAATGGATGTGAGTTTGAGCAAAGTCCAGGAGACAGTGAAGGACAGGGAAGCCTGGTGTGCTGCAGTCCATGGGGTTGCAAAGAGTCAGACATAACTGAGTGACCAAACAACAACAAATGATTAATGATGTTGAGCATCTTTCCATATGCTTACTTGTCACCTGTATATCTTTTTTCATGATGTGTCTTTTAAAGTCTTCTGCTTCTTCCACCTTTATTTCTATGTTTCTGAATTTTTTTTTAAAATTATTTTTAAAATTTATTTTTGGCTAAGCTGGGTCTTTGTTGCTGCACGTGGGCTTTCTCTAGTTGCGGTGAGTAGGGACTACTCTCTAGTTGTGGTGTGCAGACTTCTCATTGTTGTGGCTTCTCTTGTTGTGGAGCACGGGCTCCAGGGTTTGTGGGCTCTGTAGTTGTATCGCACTGGCTTAGCTGCCCTGAAGCATGTGGAAAGAGTATCTTTCACAGAAAAAATTTTGATGAAGTGCAATTTATCAATGTTTTTCTCTTAAGAATCATGCTTTGAGATCATATCTAAGAAAATTTTGTCTGACCCATATTCTTCTAGAAATTCTACAGTTTCAGCTCTCATATTCAAGTCTAAAATAAAACTTAATTTTTCTTCTGTTCTATTGATTTCTTTGTTCATCCTCCTTTATGTCAATTTCATAGTGTTGAGGTAACTTTAGCTTTATGATATGTCTTAAAACAAGACAGTGTTAGTCCTCCAATCCTGTTCTTTTGCATAGTTGCTTCGTATTTCTGACAACTGTAGAATCAGTTTGTCAGTTAAAGTCCACTAAGGGGCATTTTGATTGGAGCTGCATTAAATCTGATGTTTTGGTAATACTGAGACTTCTGATCCATGAAAATGCTATTTCTCTCCATATATTTAGGTTTTCTTTACTTTCTTTACCATTATTTTATATTTTACAATGCACAGGTCTTACATAATCTTTCGTCAGGTTTATCCACAATATTTAAAGTTTTTTTATGGTATTGTAAATTGTTATTATAAATGTTAATCTCTCCTATTTCTGTATTTCAATTTCAGACTACTCACAGCCAATGTTCAACAAGCTCTTCTAAGACTCTTATGACCTGGGAAAAAACACTCAACGATGAGCAACTATCTATGTAATAAAGCAAAAAAGTATCTATTATCAAAGATTGCCATTTTTGGATAAAATGTACAATGTGTCATGAATATAGTCAATAATAATGTAATATCTTTGTATCAAGACAGATGGTAACTAGATTCACTGTGGTGAGCATTTTGCAATGTACAGAAATATTAGACCACTATGCTGTGTACCAGGAACGAACAGTATCATAGGTCAACTATACTCCAAAAACCAAACAAATTCATGGAAAAAGAGATAAGATTTGTGATTACCAGAGGCAGGGGGTGGGAGAGAGGGAACTGGATGAAGGTGGTCAAAAGGTGTAAACTTCCAGTTATAAAATAAATACTAGAGAGGTAATATACAACATGGTTAATATAATTAATATATATGTTATATATATCAAAGTCATTAAGAGAATAAGTCCTAAGAGTTCTCATCACAAGGAAAAATTATTTTTCCTGTTTCTTTTATTGTGTATCTATAGGAGATGATGGATGTTCATTAAACATATTGTGATAATGTAAGTCAAACCATTATGCTCTATATGTTAAACTTGTACCGGGCTGTATACCAAATATATCTCAATAAAATTAACAAGAAAAAAATCCCCATTTTAAACTAATTCCTAATCCTGATGACCTCCTGGTAATAATCAGAGAGCCACAGGTCTGCATTAAGATTGCCATCTTGGCCAACAGCAGAGCCTGGTGTCTAAGGTAGGAGAGGAGAATACATTTTAATGAATAGGCATCCTTATTTAATTATTTGTAAGGACTATGCCAAGAGTTCCACCTTCTTTTCCTTACTCTACCTAGAGAAACATCTGAGGTGGGCGAACACTTGTCTGTATACCTGGGCTCTACTTGTAGTACATGCGCAGGAAGCTGGCTTACATTCAGTTTTTCTACGTTTTTGGTTCCAGCGACTTGAAAAATATATTAATACTAACACTTTGAAAGGAGGCAGTTATGTGGAACATGTGAAATAGATACAATGGAAATTGTGGGTGTGATATTTAACTGGGCTGGGACCTCAGGGCTGAGCAACAGGATAAATGCCAGAAAAGCCTTGCTGTCCTAGGAATCACCTGAATTCTTAGAAACTAAAATTAAAAAAACAAAACAAAACATACTTATGTCTATCTTGGGGCTTCCCTGGTGGCTGAGTGGTAAAGAATCCACCTGTCAATGCAGAAGATGTGGATTCCATTCCTGAGTCAGGAAGATCTGTTGGAGAAGGAAACGGCAACCCACGCCAGTATTCTTGCCTGGGAAATCCCATGGACGGAGAAGTCTGGCGGGCTACAATCCACAAGGTCACAAAAGAGTCGGACATGACTCAGTGACTAAACAACAACAGCAGCATGTCTATCTTATGGTATAAAGCTATGAGAGCCATCTAGTTCCTTAATTTCCTTTGGAAATTACCAAATTCTTTGAAGATACCCATCTCTGTACAACATGTATTTTTTTAAACTATGCTATTTCTAAAATTAAAAAAAAAAAAAGGATATGTGAATGCTCCACCGCCAACTAAGTCTCTAATACATTCTCCAGGCCAGAATACTGGATTGGTTAGCCTTTCCTTTCTCCAGGGGATCTTCTCAACCCAGGGATCGAACCCAGGTCTCCCACATTGCAGGCGGATTCTTTACCAGCTGAGCCACAAGGGAAGTTCAAGAATACTGTAGAGGGTAGCCTAGTCCTCCAGGGGATCTTCCCCACCCAGGAATCGAACCTGGATCTCCTGCATTGCCGGCAGATTCTTTATCAACTGAGCTATCAGGGAAGCCCACATATACTGGCATAATCAAATCAAATCAATATATTCTAAGAAAAGGCCTACCTGATTAGTGTGTTCCCAATCTGGTGCCGGATTTCATTCCACTCCTCTTTGCTTTTTCGAGGCCAAGAATTCATGTTCATTTCTGGTTCACTAGGTTTGTGGTTCAACTTCATTGCCAGCGTGTCTTTCCTCTTCACTTTGTTGGCCAGAGCACCTTTGCACAAGAGAAAGAAAAACATGTAGAAGCTTCAGGCTCAACCTTACCTGGAGCTACGTAAGACTCTGAACAAACATTATCAGAATCCCAGCTTTCTAGTTGGTCTCCAGTGAGTCACCTAACATAGAGGTGAGGGTAAGGCTGACAATATCTAAAAATTTTTGCAGCAGATGAACTCAGATGGGTTAAATATACCTTTTCCCTTCTACCAGTTCTCTCTCTACATTTTCTTCTTAGTAAGAGTTGCTCGAGGAGGGATCATTTAAGTAGGGGACAGCCTCTGAATTACAACACAGAGGCATTCAAACTAACACACCTCAGAAGGTTCCTACTCCTAAAACTGCTTTCAATTTTCAGGAATCAGGATTCTACTATTTGCAGATGTGTATATATGAACATATATATTTTTTCCTTTGTCCCATGAACATAGTTAAGTTTATCAGGCTGAAGAGAGTATCACTTTTGTCTTTTCCACAAAGCCCAAACACCAACTTTCCTTTACTCCACATTCTTTAATACCATCAAGATAAACATTTTAAAATCAAAACTAAACACATAAAAACCTGACTGACTCAATCTACTGGGCTCCCTCTCACTGGCTTGTATGACAGGAACAGCAGGGACAAGGGTCTTTCCCAGAGGCTTCCAACAGCAGTCAGCCAGACGACTCGGTGGGAAAGAGTGTCTGCATCCATGCATCTTACACTTGCTAACACCACACACAGCTGTATCTGTAAGACAGCCTTCTCCTCCTTCTCTCCCTTTCTTACTATGATGGCTTTCATCTTCGTCCTCTTCATCTCGGTATTGAATGGGACCTTCTGAATCAGAGTCACTCTCTTTCCCTTCTTCCTCCTCCTGCAGACACTGCGGGAGTTCAGGAACGGCTGAGGTAGATGCTACATCTTCATCGAATGCAAATATGTGGCTTTGCTCCTCCTCTTCTTCATCGTCTGGACTAACAAATCAACATAATTACATTTCCCTTTCAGAGACATAAAGAGTAAGTGAGTTGCAAGTCAAAGTATTAAATAACTGTGAAAAAGTTCATGAATGAAATAATTTTAGTTCTTTTCCTTATTTTTTACAATCTTGCTAAGAAACTTTTTAGCAGTCATTAATCTGAAGGGCTCTGGGTTTAAATCCCAGAGCGTTTACAACTTATTTACTAGATTTTACGTGATCTAATTTTTCTGTAAATGGGGATGATACCTACCTTGTTGGCTTGTTGTGAGAATGAAATAGACAAATTCTAGAATGCACTAGTGTCAGGCACACAGGGGCTTGATGATCTATATATAAGATGCAAGCCTGCTTTGGTCTGATTAAATGAGAAGACTACACAGCACCTAACACAGTACTTGGCTCATGGAAGATACTCAATAAAAATATTGAACCCACTTCTTAAACCAAGGAAGTAAACAGAAGTAAAGATGAAAACTAACTTTTCCCCTTTACATTCTGGAGGCATAAAACTATGACTTAACCTACTTCAAATTCCTAAACTGTATCTTTCCAGGATATGAAATAAATGACCAGAAAGTACAAGAAATTACGGCAGAACAAATAAAAAGGCAGATACTGCAACAGCTCTACAACAATTCTTTTAGTAAGACAAATTTCCAGCTTGCCAAGAAATGTTACTCTCCAGGACCAATTTGTCTGAGTTTTAAAAAGACAGACAAAGTAGGAATAAGTACCAATGCTACTCTGAACACACTGAGTGGGGACAGATGAACTAGAGAAAAGATGAGCAGTTCCAGTCCATGGGGCTGGAATACTGAGCCATCTTTCCGAGCTCCCTTCTTTTTCTTTTTTCCCCCTCTTTTTCTTTAGGTTTCTCTCTGCCTTCTCTACCAAGATCATATGCCAGGCACTAGAGCTTTCAGATTTGTCTAACTGCATTCTCACAAGCTTATGAGGTCAGTATTATTCCTGTTTACAGGTTGGACAACTAAAGAGCAGGCAGGTAAAGTAACATACACTACTGTAAGTTAGTGAATGAGAGGCAGAGCTGGGATGTGAACCCAGAGCTATCTTACTCCAAGGTCAATGTTCTTAAGCACCATGTTACACTGCTTCCTCTATATGACATAAAAATGCACAGTGGTTTTAACTTTGAAGTAGAGACGTTTTATAAGTTCTGTATCATGGAAATTTCTGCCATGGATACAATGTTATAGAAATCAGGAGGGTAAAAGTCCAAATTTAAGAACGTGTCTTATTTGTTGAGTACTCTTCTTAATTTAAGTTTATTCACATTTTCTCTGTAAGTACTTTTTTCCAAGAAAGGCTAGCTAGAGTAAAGAGGGAACAAGAAGCAAGCTTGAAAGGCACTCACACTTTTAGCATTTCAATAGTGATGGGAAGTGACCTGGTCCGACCCAGGGTACTGCTGTCCTCAGAAAAGCCGTCACTGTTCTCGAAGAGCAACGAATGAGCTCTATGAGAGCCCTCCAAGGGAGGAGTCATGGGGAGTGGGCTGGTCAGGGCCTGCTGGATTCGGATGTGCAGCGGGACCGGGGGCAGCCTAGGGGGCACCTGGGGCTCCCCGAAGCTGTGGTCCAACATCTTCTTGGGTACTTCCCTTTTCTGACTTTCCTGCTGGACAATCTCCTGGGGTAGGTCTAAGGAAGGTGGAAACTCAATTTCTGGCACAACCTGAAAAGTCTTAGCAGGGAATGGAGGGGACCGAGGGGGCTCTGGAGGTATATGAGTAGGCAGTGGGGAGGAGGGGGAGGGAGTCAGCAGGGGTTCAGAGCCCACAGAGCATGTGCTCTTCTCTCTCTGATCACTTGGTGCTTTTGTAGCGGTGGTGGCAGCAGCAGCAGACTCTGAGGTGGGTACCAAGGCTGACGGAATGCCTCTCTTCGGTGGTAAAGGTGGGGATGGCTTTGATAACAACGTACCACTGTTTATTGCTTGGGACAGTTCAGCTGGAAAAGAGAAAGCAGTACCTCAATTTAAGATGGTTTTGCAGTGCTTTGAGGGGCCAGCCCAGAACCTAGAATTAGAGCTGAGTTCAGTCTTCCTCTTCCATGCTAATTATATCATTTTATGGCTTTGCCATTCTCTACCCCATTGTGAAACAAAAAATTAATATTTAAATATGTAGAAGGTCCAATAGACATATAGAGGTGTAAGAAAGACCACTACCTTAATACTGAGAAATTTCTTACTTCTTTAATAATAGACATGACAACTTTTTATGACTTGATCTTGGTGTAGATAAAGTTAATACAAAAAGAAACAACAAAAAAATGTGGCTAGTAAGTTCTTTTGTCTAACAACACTCCATACTCTTATACAACAGATCATCTTTATCATCTTACAGAAGGAAAAACTGTGGCCCCGAAAGTTAGGTGACTTGCCCAAGATCATACTACAAACTGGTTAGGACTCAGCTAGCTCCCAGGACTCATTCTTAAGGTTCCAACCTCTGGATTCCCCTGACTTTGTTTTTAACCAGTACCCACACCTCTTCCTGTCCTTTACGTCCAATCTGCCATCTCCACTTTTCAGTACACTGCGGGCTCCTTGACGACAGGGCATCCCTTGTCTCTATCAGCATATTCACAGGGTGGGGCACAGTGCCTGGCACACAGTGGTCCTCAACACGTTTATTAGGTGAGAGGCCCCTCCCCTGTACCATGACAGTAAATATCCTTAAGTGATCCCCCCACAAGCCCACACATCTCAGGTGTCGATTGAGCAAACTCCCTTTTAGAACTCCAAATGGCTTTTAAGAAGTGGATCATCACATCACAAAAGGTCAACCTGGCAAAATAATTAAATAGTAGTTCTCTCTCTCTTTTTTTTAACTTTCTAAACCAGTGGTTCTCTTGGTCACCAACCTCCGACCCTTGACTCAAACCCCTCACTTTGGTCCCACCAATTGTTTACAAAGGTTTTATATGTCTTACCTAGACAGCAACACCTCAAGTTTCCCTAAAATAAAAAAATTTAATTGCTCTAAATCCCATTCCATTGGCAGCATTCAAAATAAAAGTCTAGCTAATATGATAATGTTTTAATGTCACTCTTCATAAGTAAAATTTTAAAAGGTATTTCTAGAAAAATACTGCATATACTTATAAAAAAGGATTCAAAAAATTGAAATTTTAGGATCAATGAAAGATATATATTCTGGTAGATTGGATTTTTGCTGGCTGGCTAAAAATTGTTGCTGTTCACTTGCTGAAAATGGCTAAAAACAGTGGTTAGCTATTCCATCTACAACAAAATCCAACCCTGACAAGATCAAATCTGAGTATTTTAACAACTGAATTGATAAAGTAAGTTAGCTTTAGTGATTTAAGGGAAACATTTACCTGAAAAGGAAAGGACCTCTGGTACACACACTGTGATAATGGCATTTGGCATGGGAAAGATGCAAAATGTTCACTGGAGGGGTTACAATTCCCTTCATCAGTTATTTATGGAGGTCTTTCTTAGTCCCAATACTCCTAATTAGTCCTTAGTTCTAATTCTATCATGCCTGTTAGTAGAAACAGCAATGTCTAAATATTGGTTTCTAAATGTTTGTGTTTCATGGACCAACATTATTAAAAAGACATTCTCAACCAATCTCAGGTTGTTAATCTTTACTTTTAATTATTTTCAACTAAGGGTTTTTTGGCCATGCTGCATGGCTTTTGGGATCTTAGTTCCCCGACCAGGGATTGAACCCAGGTCCCCAGCGGTGGAAGCATGGAGCCCTAATCACTAGACCACAAAGGAATTCCCTCAACTAAGCCTTGATATTCAGTAAACCACTCAACAGCATAACCCGTTCATGAAAGAAAAGGTCTTTTAACACCAAAGAATCAAGAAGGTCCATAATTTCAGAATAAAGGATAATTTTCTTTTTTTTTTTTTGGCCGTGCCCTGCAGTCTGTGGTATCTCAGTTCCCTGACCGTGAATTGAACCCAGACCATAGCAGTGAAAGCCTGGAATCTTAACCATTAGGCCACCAGGGAACTCCCTAAAGAATAGTTCTTTAAATCTATCTAACTTTAATAAAAACTCTGTGAACTATCCTATTTTTCTCTTTCAGCTGAGGACTGCTCATGGACTGCTATCAATCCCTTAGTCACAGGGCCTATTGCTTTGGGCTATTCACCTGAGGCCAAGAGCGGCCTCTATAGTTTAGCCCAGGATATAGAACAGACAGCAGTGGTTCCTGATGTATGGTTTCTATATACAGAGCATCAGTATCATCTGGGAACTCACCAGAAATGTAAATTCTCAGGCACTACCCCAGACTTACTGAATCAGAAACTCTAAGGGCAGAGCCCAGCACTCTGTTTTAACAAGCCCTCCAGGTGACCACAATGAGAACCCCTATATAAACAGTTTGAAAATGCAAATGTACAGACAGAGGCCTACACTCCAGAGTTGAAAGACCTGTATTTGGTTTCTATCTCTCACTAACTGCAACCTTGAGTCAATCATAACTTCTTCACTTTCTTATTGCCCTAACTATACACTAGATAAAATAGATAAAACTTCAAATGGAGGTTTTGAAAAGAAGAACATGAAAGTTCCTTGATCCTCAGAGGTAAGTCAACATGTCACTATCCATCCAAGGTGGTGATAATAATAATAACCTGCATCCTGTTTCTCTCAAGCTACTCCAACCTGTTATACTCGCAATGAATTCTAAGCCTGCTTTTCAAGGTTCTAGTCGCTCCACCTAATTTGGTTAATTAGCCATTTAATGAGCACACTTTTTATTTCTTCATTCAATCATTAACAAAAACTTTAAGCAGTACTAAACCTAATATCATTTTTCTTGAGAAACTACTTTTTTCTTTTCCTCCCTTTCTTGAAAATTCCTCTAAAATTATATAAGGAAAACCAATCTAAACATAATTCCTGTACATATAAAAAACTTACTAAACCAATAAAAAGTTACTATCTTCCCTGCTTTACTTCTTCTACCACTCATTTCATTAAGAGTAGCACCTTTAACTCTCCCAAGACAAAACATGATTTTATCAGAACAGTTTAAGTAGCTCTGCAGTTCCCCAGGAACATACTATGCTAGATCCTGAACCACAAGTTACACAGGCACCTCTACAATCACTTTATCTACTGGGTTTATGTTGAAGGAAGGCATGCATTGGCAGTTTAAAGTAGGTTAAAAAAAAAAAAATCCTTTCACCATGTAGGTCAAACCCACTGTGGTCTGTTCATATGTCTAGTCCCCCAACTATAGACAGCAATTCAGAAACACTGCTTCAGGAAAAATAAATATTAATCTCCTAAACCTTGAACCTAATTTCAGTGATATCTGATCCCACTCTGTTTCCATTCATAGCCATCTGTCTCATTTTCAAGACTTTTTTCTATACTGAAGGCATTCAAAGGGACAAGCTGTGGAGAACTCTCTCACAGATCAAATCAATATTGTAACAATTATCCAATAAAACAACCATCTAAAACCAAACCAAACCGCAAACAATGGAAAACTAAAGACGTACGTACCAATGACAGGGTTGCTGTTTCTGTGGGTTGGTTTTGGGGGTGGAATAGGGGGCTGCTTGGCAGGGCCTGTGTGAGAAAGGCTCAGGGTGGCAGTGGTGGTAGTGCTGGCAGGAGCAGCGGGCAGAGTCCTGGGCGCTTGGGAAGGGGGGCCAGAGGAATGGACAGTTTTTGCCGGGTTCGTGGCAACCATGGTAGCAGCAGGTGCTGTGGTGATGGCAGTGGTGGAGGCAGACGAGCTGGGTCTTGCCGAGTTGCCAGAGGAAGTGGCATCCTTTGCTTGCCCTTCATTTGCTTCGTGAGAAGAGGACAAGTGTCTTTTAGGGGGAAGTAAAGGCTGTTTAGGTACACTCTCAGGGATGAATTCTGCTTCAGAATGAGGCTGGCTTCCAGTGGAGCCTGTGAAATAGCAGATGGGATTTAAAACGAAAGAGTGTTACAAGACAGGCTGAAAAAGGTAATAGACCTACCACTTACGGTCAAGTCCATCTATTACTTAATGTACAGGTTGGTTTATAGACAAGTTTCCCAACCTCACACACTTTAGGTATATAACGCTTTCTCAATCAGTAAGAGAGGCTTGTTATGATAGTGATTTTTCACACAAGAGCCAGGCAACTGGACACAGAGTCCCTTGGGACTTGAAAAAATCCTACACACATCGATCTTTAACAGCTCTTTCCCAGCCGGCTCATACAGTAAAAATCTGCCTGCAATACGGGAGACCTGGGTTTGATCTCTGGGTCAGGAAGATCCTCTGGAGAAGAAAATGGCAACTCATTCCAGTATTCTTACCTGGGAAATCCCATGGAGAGAGGAGCCTGGTGGGCTACAGACCATGGGGTCGCAAAGAGTTTGACATGACTGAGCAACTAACACAACTCAGTCCTTGAGAATCACAAATTTAGGTATTTTGTGAATATAAGAACGAGGGGAGAAATTCTATTTCAAGCGGCAACTAGAAGAACTGCTAGAGGGAAACAGAAGTCCCTCTGGATTTTACTTCTCCCCTGGCTCCTGCAATCCCCTGAGATAAATGAGAATGACTGGTCCATGGCTCTTAAACTAAAAAATTCAGAGTTAATTACCTAGTCGCTTCTTCGGCTCCTCTTCTGGAACAGGCTTCCTAAGACTTGCTATTCTTCCCGACTCCTCCTCTACCTGGATTGGACTAGAAGGTCTGGCGCTCCCTATGAGGGCGGTGTGGCCATTCTTTAACATGGCATGGCTCAGCTTCCCTGGATCCTCACCACCTGCAAGGTCCAAAAGAAAACAAACTGGTGGACTGGCGTTGTCAGGTAGGGAGAAGAGCTGGCAATTTCTAACCTTTCTTATCCCCTTTATCCAACCCTCTTCCTGTTTTAGCTTATTATTGAGATCTAAATTATTTGGATTTATAGTAGTAATGAAAATAAGTAATTCCTTTCCCAATAAACATTTGATTGTCTATTATATGCTTTGTTACATGAATAAGACAGGTTCATTAAACATAGGTAATCATTACACTAAATGTTAAGAGCTATAACGAGTAAAATGCTATGGTGGGAATGAAGAAACAATTCTCCCGGGGGTGGCAATGGAGTGAGAAAAGCTTCACAGAAAGTGGTAGCTAAACTGGGCCTTACAGGGGCAGCAGGAGCCTACCACTTGATGACGAGATAAGGAAAGCCATGCAGAAAGAAGGACAGCACGTATGAGGCATGAGACTGTTTGACACATTTGGGAACTGACAACTAGTTTGGCCTGGTAGGAGAACAGACGCCCAGAAGAAAGCGTTAAGAGGAATGAAAACAAGCAAGAGCAGAGAATGGAAAGGTAAGCAAGAGCCAGGCTCTGAAGGGTACCAAACACCAGGTAAAGGAGTGTGGACTGAATCCTGTAGGTAACAGGAAGCCAAAGAATTCACAGAGAGAGAGAGAGAGATGACCTGCTCTGTCTTCTAGAAGATTAACTCTGAGAAGGATGCATTAGGCAGTGACTGGAACGGGAAAGCTAAAAATGAGCAGAAGGCAGGTGAGAAATAGCAGAGGTGCCTGAGGGCATCAGGAGTGGACAGCAAGGGGGGGGAACTGACAGATCAAAGGTAAACATAAGACACATGCTGGGTTCCTATGAGCTAAATGGCAGGAGTGACCACCGGGCTGCTGGCTTTGGGATGACCACTCACCACTATCACACTTGTAGGTTAAGAACTTTTCATGGAACAATTAGACAAATGTTCCCGGTTACTGCTGAGGTTACCCAGACTCCTCTGGAGGGGAGAACTGAAAAACTGAGCTTAGAGTCTGGAAACTGTCTCACCTCCTAGTGTCATGGGAACTGGAGCTAGTCACTCTCTTTGTTTTCATAGGGAGATACTCCTTGTCCACTCCTGCACCCCCACCCGGCATCTCCTACTAAGAAATTAGACGGTGTCATTCTTCACACAGTCTCAGTAAGAGGTGGAGCTTGGGTTAAAAGTGGTGAAAAAAAGTCTAAGGCAATGAGCTCTGAACAAAAGTGTACTTCTAAAATGTATTTCTAATGCTCTGACAAGTATTTCTTCTTAAATTTAAAAACAGAGGAGGGGGCAAAATGACAACAGCGATGCAAATGTTGTAAGTTACTACTCATGTTAATACAGCACAGCTTTAACAAAAAACAGGACTTTCTAGAATATAAAGCAGTGAATCATTTCAAAGCCAACAAAGACCCCTACTTTTGAAAAACATGTAGTGAAAGTTTAAGACACATTATTAACTAGTTTCTACTCAGCACATACCAGCAAAAGTGATCAGTCATTTCTTAAGTTATTTAATCAGGACTGTCTAGTTTGATGTAAAATTTCTTATATTTAATGCAAAGGGTTTGTGCTAAATGCTAATGGAGTAGAATAGAAATACCAACAGAATGTGGCCTGAACATCTATGAGTGCTTTGCAACCCCCAACTCAGAAAGTCCATGATATATTTTATAATACAGTCAAGTCAGAACCATAATCAAGCCAAAGCCGTTTCTGAGTATGAAAAGAACTGCAAGGGTCAAATACTGCTTTTACCTAAACTGGAGATCCATAAGCAGGCCATAAGGCCCGTCTCAGTTTCTTCTTACAGAATAAAGCTTAGGTCAGTTCTCTGGTTAGCACACGGGTTACAATTCCCTTATCAAGCACCCCTTCAAGCTTGCTTCTAGGCTAACTGGCTGAATGAAGGTGAAGAACAAGAAGGAAGCAACGCACGGGGGTTGGCGAGCGGCAGAAGAGGGCGCGGGGTGAGGAACAGCTAGTATCAAAAAACCAACGGCTAGAGGTGCTGCAAGAGGCATTATAATTGTGGTCACCCACCTAAATACCTAGAAGATTTTGTGTCCTACTGTAAAAAACAAACAGACTTATGAAAAAACAAAAGTTATATGTGCTCATTGCTAACCATGCAAAAAATTTAGAAAAATAGAAAAAATCCTCTATACTCCCATTCCAACATCCAGAAATAACTAATGCTAATAATATTTTAGTATATTTCCTTCAAGTTTGTTTTCTCTTAGTTTTTATATAGTTGAGATAATACATAATTTCATTAAAATTTGCAAATAAGCAACACAATCACATGGTTCAAAACCTAGAGTATAATATTCCATCAGTTTGGTTCCTTTCTCCCACCAACCAAAGAATACATTTTTAAAACTTCGCTTTCAGATTTTGTCTTACGCAAAGTAGCTCTAACGAAGAGAAATGAAATGCAACCAGTGTACTAGAGTCTTACTCTTCTGATAAGCTGCTTCATATAAGTCACACACTGGAGAAATTTCTGACATTATTAAATCAGCAGTGAGTGCTGCAATACCGAAGCATGATCTTCATGACAGACTAACAAGAAAGACTAGGGCAGCAATATGGGCATGGAGATGTATTTGATAAAAAAAGAAAAGAAAATGACATAGTACTATAGCTAGCACAAAGCTGAGGATGTACAAAGAGAAAGAAAATGTTTGCCCCAAGGATCCTTCGCCAACCACTAAACTGCAATTCCAGGGTTAAAGACCACAGCCAGATAAGGAAGGCACTTTGGAGGGAAGGCTGAAGGAAGTTTTTCTTATTCCCCTCAGAAGAAAATGGACTTTAAAACAGAAAATTAGGAGGTAATTATTGGAAGAAATAAAATCATTTTATGTTTACCCCTTAAGTTGAGATTCTTAAAAAAAAAAAAAATCAATTATCCTCACTTTTTATGTTTTATTTAATATTTTTTCTTCATTAGATGTTTTCATTCCCACAAAAAATATATGCCCACTTATATGCAATAAAGGGGTGGGGAGTGGAAGGTACAAATTGTGGAGTGTAAGATAGGCGCAAGGATGTATTGTACAACAAGGAGAATATAGCTAATATTTTGTAATAACTCTAAATAGAAAGTAACCTTTAAAATTATATTCAAAAGGCTTTCTTTAAATAAATAAAACATAGATGGTATGGCATTGAATTTTATAGAAATATCTTAATTATTATTTAGTATTTTTCATTGTCAAGTTTAACACCAGTAGAGAAAACTGTACAAAATAGAAATGTAAATTTCAAAAACATATTGTAAGGAAAACACCTGAGTGAGCATCATGGACATTAAGAAATATTATAAAAACGTTCCCAGACCTTGGAAACCTCCCTCTCTCCCTAGTAACATACTTCTCCTTCCCCCACAAAGCAATCACTCTTCTAACCCTTATAATCCTTTCTTTGTGTTTTTATTATAGTTTAACCACACTATCATGTATTTCCAAACACTGTTCTTTCTTTATACTTATAGAAATGATATAGCAATCCCACTTCTGGGCATACACACCAAGGAAACCAGATCTGAAAGAGACACGTGCACCCCAATGTTCATCGCAGCACTGTTTATAATAGCCAGGACATGGAAGCAACCCAGATGCCCATTAGCAGACGAATGGATGAGGAAGCTGTGGTACATATACACCATGGAATATTACTCAGCCATTAAAAAGAATTCATTTGAATCAGTTCTAATGAGATGGATGAAACTGGAGCCCATTATACAGAGCGAAGTAAGCCAGAAAGATAAAGACCATTACAGTATACTAACACATATATATGGACTTTAGAAAGATGGTAACGATAACCCTATATGCAAAACAGAAAAAGAGATGTATAGAACAGACTTGTGGACTCTGGGAGAAGGCGAGGGTGGGATGTTTCAAGAGAACAGCATTGAAACATGTATATTATCTAGGGTGAAACAGATCACCAGCCCAGGTTGGGTGCATGAGACAAGTGCTCGGGCCTGGTGCACTGGGAAGACCCAGAGGGATCGGGTGGAGAGGGAGGTGGGAGGGGGGACTGGGATGGGGAATACATGTAAATCCATGGCTAATTCATTTCAATGTATGACAAAAACTACTGTAATGATGTAAAGTAATTAGCCTCCAACTAATAAAAATATATGAAAAAAAAAAAAAGAAGAAATGATACCATATATATTCTTTCATGACTGACTTCAATTTCTCAGTACTACTGATGAAATTCACATTAAAGGAAATAGGTATAGTTAGCATTGTCATATAGTATTTCATTTTATCAATGTATATCCCAAGTTACTTATTATATATTTTACTATTGAGGACATTTGGGTTGTTTCTAGTTATGCTCCACTGTTTAAACATTGCAGCTATGAGCATATTTATATCTCCTGATACACATGTATACACGTTTTTGTTCCGTATATACCAAAGACTGTACAAAGGTTTACATATTTCCAGCTTTTGTAGATTAGGTTAAACTATTTTTCAATGTGATCATTCCACTTTAACACTTATAACAATAGTTGTATGTAAATTCCACTTATATCATACCCTCATCAATTTTTGGTTTTGGTCATTTGATTAATTTTAGATTTTCTAGTTTATGCCTAGAGCTCTTTTATTTTGGTTTTAATTTGCATCTCTTAATTATTAATGAATTACTTAATTCATTACTTAATTACTACCTACCTTTTACTTTGTTTGTTGGGCATTGGTATGTACTCTTCAGTGAACTGTCTGTTCAGTGCTTTTGCTCACGTTTCTACTGACTGCCTTTTCTTTTTAAATGAAAATTTTAAAAATATGTGTGCTAGACGGTGAAAGCTTTTTAAAGTCCCCTCCCCTCTCAGCAACAGCAATAATAAAGAAAGAAAATTCAAATACCTAGTCAAAACCAAAGACCAAGTGTACAGAGACAGGCATATGTTGTTTGAGTGTATGCATACTCACCCTGCTCAGAGTCTTCCAACAGAACCCCTCTTTTAACCAGCTCTTCTCTCGGTTTTCGCATAGATATTTTTCTCTCTAAAACTAACATTAAATTAGAAAACAATACTTAGAAATGTGGCAGACAAAAGTCAACACCTTAGGTAAAAGAATAAAGTGGTTCAATTTTCTATTCTTAGGAAAGAAAAGAATACAAAACCAAACTTCAAATTTTAAAACTTAATTTCTCTGGCATCCTGTGCTATTGGGAAAGTATCATTTCCAAAAGGAACTACACAAGTTCAGCTTTACCCCCCCCCCCCCCTTTTTCTTGGCCACGTCACGAGGCTTATGGAACCTTAGTTCCCTGACCAAGGATTGAACTCTGGCCTTTGGTATTGAGGGGGAGGAATCCTAACCACTGGATTGCCAGGGAATTCCTTTCTTTTTTTTAGAATTATTTATTTGTCTACTACAGGGCTTAGTTGCTCTGTGGCAAGTGGGATCTTAATTCCCCAACCAGGGATGGAGTCCTCTGCATTCCAAGGTCCCTCCTTCCTTTTTTATGGAAATTTCAATAATGAGATATTTATAAATGAACTTTTTCTGGGAGGAAGTAGCCAGAATAGGAAAAAAGAAGCATCTTAGGGCTTCCCTGGTGGTCCAGTGGTTAAGAATCTGTCTGCCAATGCAGGAAACATGGGTTTGATTCCTGGTCTGGGAAGATCCCACATGCCACAAGGCAACTAAGTGCGTGTGCCACCGCTACTGAGACCAGGCTCTGGAGACTGTGCTCCCCAGCAGGAGAAGCCACTGCAATGAGACGCCTGCGCACCGCAACCAGAGAAAGCCAATGCATGGCAATGAAGACCCAGTGCAGCCAAAAAAAGCATCTTAGACTTGCTGTAGTTCAGGAGCCCCATTCACCACTCAACTGATAAACATTAATTCCATCAAAATACTTAGTGAGTGACCACTTGGTTTTTTAATTCTAAAAGATTCAATTTCCTATTCAAATAGGGGGTTAGAGAAAATTGGGAAGAGAATGAAAAAGTTAGGTACTTCCAATGGGGAACTCTTTGACTCAGAACATATACATAAATTTTAACATCTCACCTTCTGATGTCTCTTTGAACTTATCACTTTTTTTTTTCCGCCATTTCCAGGGCTTGAAGATCTTGCCAAAGCCTGAGAACTTGCTCTTCCTTTTGGTAGGAGGCGTTATGTCTCCTGCTTCCACACAGTCCATGACCATGCCTAGGTCTGCAGTGGGCTGACCTATTTCTTCTGTTGCATGAGAGGGAAAAGGGAAAAGAACAGCTAATTTATTATTTCAACATAATCTTGAAAATGTCCCTTCCCCTCTCTTCCTGTGGTAGTTGGAAAGGATCAGAGCAATGATGAATAATCATGCAGACAGACTCCTTGACATCACATGGACACCAGACATCAAAATTCATAACAGATAAATTACTAAGGGGAAAAAGAAATAAATGGAGCTGACACATCATTTTAGAACAAAAATTCAATGAGATGATCATAATCAGCTCAAATCTCTTAAAGGCACATGCACACACAAATGTGGATCTCTTCCCCAATATGCAGGAGATCTTGCCTCAATGTAGGCTTCTTGGCATGGGGGAAGGTCAGTTAACAACACTATCTCTTGTGTCACTGAAGCAGAGAATTCCACCATCGGGTGAGTGAGTAATTTTCTCTGTTAAAACACTGCCCTCTCCCTGTTCCCCTTTCTCAGGACATAAATAGTCAGGAAGGGGATAACACTTGTGTATGTTATCAGATTATTTTCTCCCTTTGCAAAAAAGACCTTAGGTAATTTGGGAGTACTGGAAGGGACTTGGGGGGTGGGACAGGGGTGTTAGAGATGCTTCAAAACAAAGGAAGAATTTAAAGTAGAGATGAGATTTCAGCTTGCTTATCACAAGATTGCTTTAGGGACAATACTGATTCTAAAGATTTGACAAGAAACATAACTGACATGATAAATGTGCAGGACTGAAATGAAAGGCCATGAGTCCCTCATAATGACCACACATGCAGGGTTTAGTGAGTGAGCTTTAGTGGCAAAGAAAGAAGCAGCCAAGACTGGGCCAATAATAATAAAAAGCAGGAAGGCAACAACAAAAAAAAAAGCAGGAAAGCAACACAATACAACTTTGCACTCCACCTACTGTCCCAGGGCTCTTTGGAGAAGTCTAGAGGAGAAGAAAAAAAAAGAGTCATGTGGAATAACAATCCTGGAATTAAAGTGAGGCCTTTACTTTGTAGAAATACATCAAGGGTAACATACTATATAGTCACGCGTAATAAGTTAACATATTTATTGTAAATAACTTCACATTTGAAGCAAATAATGCATTTGGAGGTGGGCAGAAACAAAGAAGCATAATACAGGCACTAAAAAAACCCTCTTAATAGACATTTTTTCACAAGAGAAAACATACAATCAATAAGCATTAATTTTTTTTAAGAAACACATGCCGAGTTCAACAGTTGATAGGTGTTGAGTCTAGAGAAGTCTGTTGATTTACACAATCGTAATTAGAGTGACTGCAGTGATGGCTGCTGATATATTACTTTGCCTAAAATGACAAGGGCAAAACAGGGGCCCGGTTCCTGAAGTGCAAGAGACGAAAATGACACCATTGATGTCTTTACTTGAGGGCATCCTGGGTCTCGACTATTCTAATTCCTTACATGAAATGCAATAGAATATAACACTGGATCATATTCTTTCAAGGTTGGTTGCTCCTGTCCTGGGACTGACTACCAAGAGTAACACTAGCGTGAACACGTGGTACTGCTTTTAAGAGTGAGTGCTTTAACTAAGACAGTATTCTACCAGTTATGGAATGTCAGTGAGACCTGAAGACACTGCAGAGCATTCATTATATAATATTTAACATATGTTAATGATAACACTTTCAGGAATGGAGCTAAGTAACATAAGCTGTTCTTTCTCAAATATTAGCCTTCCTTACTGAGGCAGGGACAGACTGAGACTTTAAATCTCTTGCTAACCCACCCAATGACTGAACTTCACTCAGTTCCAAAAGACACACAGGAAAATGCCTGTTTGGTTAAAAGTAACAGAGAAGATAATATAAAAAACCAAAAACCAAGCCAAGACAAACAAAAAACCCTCAAACTAACAATGCGAAAGTAAAAATTGTAAGTGCTATGTGATACTTTTACAAAGAAAAATAGCCAAAAAACTTTATAGAAAGGCAGTAACAAAATCACAGAAAGTTGCTGTCTGTAAAGTCTTAAAATGAAAATACATCCAATCTAGCCTGCTTCCACTATCTTTTTGATACCTAATCACCTTTTTGGCAAACAGATGGGGAAAAGTGGAAACTGGTAGATTTTATTTTCTTGGGCTCCAAAATCACTGCAGATGGTGACTGCAATCATGAAATGAAGATGCTTACTCCTTGGAAGAAAGGCTGTGACAAACCTTGACAGCATATTAAAAAGCAGAGACATCACTTTGTGACAAAGGTCAGTATAGTCAAAGCTAAGGTTTTTCCAATAGTCATATATGGGTATGAGAGTTGAACCATAAAGAAGGCTGAGTAACAAAGAATTGATGTTTTTGAACTGTGGTGTTGGAGAACACTCTTGAGAGTCCCTTGGACTACAAGGAGAGCCAACCAGTCAATCCTGAAGGAAATCAACCCTGAATATTATTGGAAGGACTGATGCTGAAGCTCCAATACTTTGAATACCTGATGCGAAGAGTCAACACATTGGAAAAGACCCTGATGCTGGGAAAGATTGAGGGCAGGAAGAAAAGGAGGTGACAGAGGATGAGATGGTGAGATGGCCATGAGTTTGAGCAAACTCTAGGAGATACAGGAGGACAGGGAAACCTGGTGTGCTGCAGTCCATGGGGTCACAAAGAGTCGGATACAACAACTGAACAAGAATTCACCTTCTAAAGTAGGACTTAGTTTATCCATTTTAGTTCTTCATTATATTGAACAACACATTCATGTATCCCCTTTTTCTTATACATTCAAAGCAACAAAATCATGATATCCTTTCAAACATATTTATGCCTGCTAACATATGAGCTCAAAGTAAGTTCAGTTTATATTAAGTCACAGTGTATCTGGAAAATACCAACAGCTAATGATAAAATGGAGTGCATCTGCCATCCAGTCACTAACACAAAAAGCAAAGACAGCAGTTTTTTTCTTTGATGCTTTATGCAAATATGCTTAATCTTCACATCCATAAAACTTTTAGAAGCGGGTATGCCTCTTGCATCATGCAGTGAGGCTCAGCCACACCCAGTGCTAACCCTGTTACTATTATCCCCAATTCATTCATATTCTCACATTCTCCTTTCCATATTTTCACATTCTCCCTTCTCTCCTCCTCATTTTCATGACAAACAGAACATTATTTTCGTGACTCCCAGATCTGTTCAAATACTTGGAATAAGTTCAGTTGCCCTTTCAAAACATGGAATCTGCAGGAGGTGGGCCCTAGAAATCTGTTTTCAAAAAATTTCCCGGGTGATTCTTATGATCAGTCAGGATGCTAAATTCAAATCCAGATACTATCTGGAAAGCTTTTGCATGTTAAGAGAGACAGAGGCAGACATTATCTGCACGTAACCTAATTCTTTGTTGAAGAAAAATAAACCAGAAAATCATGGCACCATTCCAGAGTTTCCGACTCAGGTAAATTATTCCTACAGAAGAATTGCGAGGATCTTCCCTGTGTTTCCTAGACTCAGACAGAATTTAAATTATAAATAAATAAAAAGTTTAGATTAATTTTTTCCCTAGATTTTAAAGAGAATTAGTCATTTGTCAATTTTTTTAGAGACTAGCCACTTATTATTAATGTTTTTTTTTTTCTTTTTCTTCTCTAGATTTATAACATACTATGTTCCATGTGTACTTGGGAATATAGTGTGTTATTCAGTTAGTGAGTGTAATGGTCTATATATAAGCCAGTTATGTCAGGTTGGTTAATCATGTTATACAAATCATTAATAAATATTCTTTTTGATATGTTGTCAGATTTTCTATCAGTTACTGAGAGAGGTATGTTGATATTTCTATCTATGAAAGTAGATCTGTCTCTTTACTTACTTCTATTAATTCTAGCTTTATATACTTTAAAACTGTATCTACCTGTTGAATTGACCCTTTTATCATTATGAAATTCTCTACATTGCTTTAATAACATCTTTGTTTTTCTCTCTAGTTTGAAACTACTGTCTTTTAGAATGTTCAGTTCATTTATACCTAATGCTTTTACACACAGCTGGCTGTTATAGGTCTGCCATTTTGCTGTTTATTTTCCATTTGCCTCATTTGCTCTGTGCATCCTTGACTTACAGTCCACATTTAAGGTAGTACTTTCACAACATATAAAACAATGCAAGAACCTTACATTTCAATTCCATTATTCGTGTTGTCATATTGTACTTATACATACATATAACAATAAACCATAGAAAACATGATTGTGGTTTTAACAAATACTATTCTTCTGTATTTCCTGCATACTTGCTTTTTCAGATATTCTTCATTTCTTCCTGCAATTCTCCATTTCCAAGTAGAATAATTTTATTCCATCTTTTTTGAAGGATATTTTCACTGGGTCAAGTAGTTTCAGTTGGGGATTGAGTTTTTAAATTTATTTCAGGACTTTATACATGTCATTTCATTGGTTTTCTCACCCCCCTCCCCCCTACCATTGGACTGCTTTTTGTTGTATGTTTTATTCTTTGGATACTTTCTATCAAAATATATAAAGGGTACAGATAATAAAGCTAGGTATCTTTTTTTTTCTTTTCATTTCTATCTACCTTTATTTGCAGTATTTCAAACATTAAAATAACTAAAATTTTCACATTAATGGCATTTTTACTGAACTAAATTAGATACTTTGGGGTAAAGTCCTTTTAAATGGCATTTCACTTTCAAAGTTTTGCCTTCTATTTTCCCCCCTTCTTTTCCTAGCGCCTCTTTTCTTCTCAACCCTTGTGTTTGTCACTTAGTCGTGTTGGACTCTTTGCGACCCCATGAACTGCCACCCTCTGTCCATGGAATTTTCTAGGCAAGAATACTAGAGTGGGTTGCCATTTCCTTCTCCAAAAGCTAGGTATCTTATTAGAGCTCCTTATAAACTAATTTGGGCCTCCCAGGTGGCTCAGTGGTAAAGAATCTGCCTGTTAATGCAGGAGATGCAGGAGACTTTGGTTTGATCCCTGGGTTGGGAAGATCCCCTGGAGGAGGAAATGGCAACCCACTCCAGTATTCCTGCTGGGATAATCTCATGGACAGAGGAGGCTGGTGGGCTACAGTCCATGGGGTTACAAGGAATCGGACACAACTGAGAGACTTAGCACATAAACTAATTTGCCACCCACTTATAATGACTTCAAATTTCAACAGGTACTTTATCAATCATTTGTTCATTTCTGTTAGAAGTCATTACTTTGGCAGCATTATTTACAATAGCCAGGACATAAAGCAACCTAGATGTCCATCAACAGATGAATGGATAAAGAAAAACAAGAATGGATAAAGAAAAACAAGTATCGTATATTAATGCATATATATGGAATCTAGAAAAATGGTACTGATGAAACTATCTGCAGGGAAGGAATTAAGATGCACGCGTAGAGAACAGACTTGTGAACACAGAGAAGGAGACGGTGGGACAAACTGAGAAAGTTGCACTGACATAGATATATATGTAGAACAGATAGCGGGGGGGGGGGGGGGAGTTGCTATATAACACAGGGAAACCAGCCTGGTGCTCTGTGATGACCTAGAGGGGTGGGATGGTTGGAAGAGAGGGAGGTTCAAGAGGGAGGGGGGAAAAATATATATATATACACACACACACACACACATATATATATATAAAACTGATCTGCATTAGTTTTATGGCAAAAACCAACACAACACTGTAAAGCAAGTTTCCTCCAATTAAAAAATAAATTTTAAAAATGAACTTATTGGAAAAAAAGGAAAAAAAACAGAAGAGAAAAAAATGAACTTATTATTTTGGATATAGCAATCAATTTTTATGATTTAGATCATTATTATACACTATTTTTACACTGGATTATAGATTTCTCTTTCTTATTCACGAATCCTATATTTGGAGTCTTTCTTCACTGACTGTTGTGCATCTTATTTCTCTACATCTTGTTTCAGGACTTTCCTGGCAGTCCAGTAGTTAAGACTCTGTGCTCCCAGGGAAGGGGGCGTGGGTTTGAACCCTGGTAGGGGAACTAAGATCCCACGTGCCACTGTGGCACAGCTTAAAACAAAAAAAGATTCTGCTTCAAGTTGAAACAGATTCTTCACGTTGTTGATAAGACATGTGGGAGAGAGGACTCTGAAGCCACACTCTTAGGCATTTCTAGAGGAGACTAGTTTGAGAGTGCTCTAGAAACAACTTTCAGCCATTATTCAAAAGTAACACCTACAGCTGATTAAAATGAAGTGTTGATAAAGTTATTCCCATGTACTCTTTGCTTAGGTGCCTGCTGAAAGAAATAAATTCTGAATCAAGGGAACGTTCTCATGCATGAAAAACTTCAGAAAAAGAAGAAAGAGAAGCAGATTAATCATTCTTATTGAAAAGGGAAAGGGGTAAATCACCTCTTTTCCCCCCAAGATCAACTATACTGACACCAGAGGGAATTCACAAAAACTTGATTCCATCACATGTCCTACATATGAAGAGTAGGATCTTTAAGTAATTAAATGGTAGTAAGAGGTAGCCAGTCAAGCCTTCCCTACTTACATTCAAGAATACTCACTCCCAAGAAGGGAAGGTAGCTGACTGAAAGTGACTTACAATAACATTCTTTGGAAAGACCTACTCAGCATCCGCCTAAATCCAACTCTGCAGAGTATGAAACAGGTATTAGCCTCCCATTATCAAACTCCACTTGGGCATATATTCTTCTTTAAAAAACAAAACCAAAAACTAATGAAGTATTATTTAGAACTAGAGGGGCCAGGATCAAAAAGCTTAAGTTCTCGTTAACATTCACACAAAATTCTAGTAGACTCAGCTTTGGAAGATGGAAGCTGCCTAAAGATATTATTTCTGACAGTGTTATTTAGAGTGGTATATAATCGTGAGTATCGTAATGTATAACAATGGGTATATAAATAAACTGAAAATTTTATATAAAACTATATAATCATTAAAACTAGGTTTCTAGAGTAATTAATAATCCAAGATTAAAAACAAGGGTATATACTTACACATATTACATTATCTAAACTATACTATACGTTAAAAAGGAGAATGGAAGGAACTAGTCTAAAATGTAAACATAATTTGATGGTAGGATTACAGGATATTTGCTTTTCTCCTTTCTAGCTTCTTATA